CTCCAGGTACTGAAATTGCAAAGCAATTTTGTCAAAATTTGTCAAAATTTAGAAATTTATTTATCAAAGCTGGATTGGTTTAAAGTCTAGAAAATCAATTAAAAAATATGATGTGTCCATATAACTATCCTATACAGTTATCAAAAAATATTTATAATATGAATTATTTAAAACATTTTTGCCAGGGAAAATACTGAAACATTCAAAGTTTGCATATTTTTTCAATACGGTCGATTTTAGAGAAATCATGTGTCGTAAAATTATATAGAATAACACCATTATTAACTCTTATTGAAATAATTTATTTCTATAATCAAAAATAACATGAAATAAAAAAACGACCCCCTATAAAGAACCCCAGATGTTCTATGTACAAAATCTAATCAGCTCACCGCAGGATAGATTAAAGTTTTTCTCTTGATCAATTTTTGAGTTATCGTGGATACAGACCCACAAACAGACCGTGAAAATGGTCATAACGGATTCAGAGGACCCCAAAACTCGAGGTCTAAAAATCATGATTCCTGTACTCTCCTTACTGGATACAGGAAAGTAAAAATAATATCAAGGGGTAAAAAAGAGACGTCATAGGGATTTGATTGATTTTTTGTGGATTATCAGTTCGAAATGGAATTTAAAAAAATCAGAGGGGTAAAGTGAATTTTTAGTTAAAGTTAAAAATAGAAAGATTATTGTTAGAACTGAGTATTGTTTATGTTCTAAAGATGAAATAAAGAAGAAGAAAAAATGAATAAAGGTAAATAAATTTTATTTATAAAGTTTTTTTTGATATAGAAGGCCATAAACTGAAAATAATGTTGTGGATATTGTCAGATTGGTAATGTAATTTTTTATTCAATGACGAAATGACCCTTAATAGGTGCCATTTAAAAAAGTGAGATTTCGGTAAAAAAAACACGTTTTAGAAATTAATTTTGTATTTAAAAAGAAACTGAACGGCATATATAATATTCACAATAATTCGTGTTGTAGTATCAATTAGCAAAAAATGTTCTAGTGAGGCTACAGTGGACAGGAATATAAGCTATCATTTAATAATCTATCAAGCCGCAGGAAAAACCTTTACGCATTATCCTACGTGAGCGGCAATACGCGGCCAACGCGGTGATATTAGAGCAATATTAATTTATTGGCGTGTCCTACGTAGCAACTACCGCGCGACACCCATGGCTCAAGCGTTTTTGAGGCGGCACAGCCGATCAAAATATTTTATATTTCCGCCTCTGCCGCTTTTGCAGCTTCAGTCTATGCCAGTCAACCACTGTGTGTACCACAATATCCCTATAGTAGTTACTGGGATTCAAGAAGTGGCTTTGAGTTACGCTGCGGCCAGACACAGGCCTCATGGTCCTAGTATCGTTTTGAATTTTGACACGTCCAACATCGGCATGTTCTTTGGTTGAAGAGGAAGTTTTTGACAAGCGAAGTGTTAGTATTGACAAGTGATAATTTTTTGATTATTTCTTCTACGAAATTTATACCGTTTATTAATATTAATTTTGTTTCAACGATATTTATTGTGATTTGTGTTGTTGTATTAAGTGCTTACTTATTTAATATGGGAAACAAAACGTACAACACACTCAGAAAAAGAGGAATCAAAGAGGGATTGCTATGGCTGTCATCCAAGGGTCTCCGCCCTAGATAATACTTTTCCAGTGGGAAAAGCCTTTAAAATTCAAGTATAACAATTTTATGTTTCCGTTTTCCCTTCTTTTAATGTAGGTTCCAATTTTGAGGTAAGTTTGTAATAATTTTTCATATTTTTTCAGTTAATACCTACCCTTTTAATATTATAATTTAACTAAGATCTTATTCTTTCCTATGGACACGATTCAAGGAGGGAGTCCTATGGCTGTCATCCAAGCCCTAGATAATAGTTTTCCAGCCTTTAAAATTCAAGTATAATAATTTACGGTTTGTTTTTCTCCTTTTTCGAAGTAGGTGTCCATTTAAACTAAAATTTTTTATTTCACTTATTGATTTTAGCATTTATATACAGTATCGGCTAATGAACACTTTCCAATACGCTTGGCTAGCATCGAAGAGAAAACTAAAGAGTTAGCGCATTAGTGCGATCAGGAAACGAATAATATGAGTGTTGCCTTGTGTGCTGTGTAATATGAACAGGCACACGGTGCGATGTATGCCCACGTAGCCGGCTGGCTACGTTCATAGTATTCTATTCCTTCTCCCACTAATGCTAAACTCTTTGTAGTTTTTACTTGGACATTAGTAAAACGTATTGTACAACATTCGACAGCTGTCACTGTATTATCCCAAACATCTCTTTATAACTAAATAATTTTATTTAATAGTTTCTTTTTTTTTTCCAGTAAAATGGATATGGCTAGAGTTATCCTCGACTTTAAAATAAATTAAATAAGTTTTATAATTTTTCAAATAAAAAACTTTATACAAATTTTTGTTTTTTTTTACCAGAGCCAATTTTTTTTTAGATCTAACCTAGGTAAAAAATAAGTGATTCAGGTAAAATTGAAATAGTACATTATATACCTAGGGTGAGAAGTGAGCTATTATTTACCGAGCACTTTTATATCCTGAGGCGCGTAGCGCCGAGGGATATAATGTGCGAGGTAAATAATAGCTTTCTCAGCCGAGGTATATATAGAATTTTTTTTACTACTAACATTAATGTATTAGCAATTTTAATTTTGACATAAGTAATTTCCTAACAATTTGTTAAATATTTCGAAATATCAAGCAGTCTGGAGCGTGTTTCTAATCAGACTGGCTTTATTTATGTAAAAATTTGGCATGTGTCAAATTTTGGTATGATTCTAGGAAATATCCCATTGCATTTTTGATATTTTAATGACATGGATTTATTGTTATTAATTAATAATTTTTAAAGCTGGTGTTGAATTTTTTAGTTAATATATATTTTTACTGTTTACACTGATATATATTATCATATTTGATTTGATTAGATTTGATAAACCCAGCTTTAGTTATTTCCTACTTATTTTTCAAATATTTCAAAATATCAAGTAGTCTGGGAGTTTAGTTGTCAAATTAACAAAATGAAACTAATGAAATTTAGTTTCATTATTTACCTAGGTTTTTTTTTATTATCATTATTTACCTAGGGTGAGAAATATTACTTCTCATTAGAGGAATGGAGTAAATAATGGTGCTTTCTCATGTTAGTAGTAAAAAAAATATATTACATGTTCTTTTGAATGTGTTGTTAATCCAAATGCTGCTCTTATTGTAATAGCTAACAATAAAAGAATTAGTATTATTTTTAGCTATCAAAATAAAAGTAGCGCCTGGATTTACAGCTCGTTTAATCGAACATGCAACATACTTCTCAATTATTGCCGAATGAATATATTTAAAAATTCCTGCCATTCCGCTGCTGGAAACTTACAATTTTGGCGGGAAATTCGCCTTAAAATTATATTTGAATTTACCGCCATATCGAGTTAGTTGAGCGGCCAGACACTTACGCATTTTAGCGCTGCAAACTTAGTGCCAACTCTTTAACAAGTGATATGCACTACTACAGGGGATATATTGTGGTGTGTGCCTAGGGATGTTGCGATACCAGTAAAGTATCGATACTGGTATCTAAAAGAGTATCGAGGGTATCGGAACAAAAGTATCGATACCGATATGGGGAGAGTATAGACCAACCAAAAAAAAAGGTCATAGGGTACGCCGACAACCATACCATAAAGTGATCCTACAATATACTTTTAAGTCAAAACTAGTAACATATTTAAACGAAAATAGTAGTATCGAAACCAAAGTAGTACCCATATGAGTAAAGTATCGAAAGCAAAGTATCGGGTACTATATTACCGGTATCGAAAGAAAACTATCGATACCAGTATCATATCAGTAGTATCGCAACATCCCTATGTGTGCCTTTGACAGTTCGGACGCTCTGGTCGCGTTTATCGCCTAGGCCGCGAATTCAGCTTCGGCCGCGTCGGCCTCGTGTTGTCGTTCACGTAAGAAAATGCGTCTGTGACTTGCACACACTACATATCCTTCATTTTCGAGAATACACAATTCGAAAATCATCAACTCTGAGATTATTGCACTAACGTGATTAAATAGGTACATTCTTTATACAGAAAAAACGATGCTTCTGTAGTTAAAAGCTGTATGCGCCTGACGGCGCTACTACCTTCGACACTTTTCAAGTTTCAGCCTGTTAAATTAATCAATTAAATTTGAGTATCTCGAAGTTCTTTGAGTTGTGTCGGTATTCTCGCAAATAAGCGATATATCCTTAATACATTCATTACGTCACTTACGTCACCCCTTTAGATAACCTTTCCGTACGAGGCACTTCACCATTGTGAGTTCTTGAAGCGTGCTCCCATCGTAAATATAAAGTCGTAAATATGCAAATAGATAAATGAAGAGAAGAAATAAGACGTGTACATCAAACCCATAACAATAACAAAGTCATAATAACAGATAAACATTTTATTGCCAACCGAGGTTGCCAACGAGATGAGTTTAACATTTGTCTTTTGCTAGGAATCCCAACTAATGAAAAGTTATCTAAAGGGTGACAAACGTTTGACGTATGTGCCGCAATAAATCTATAAAGGAGATAAGCAGTGCGTGCAAGTCACTACAGAATCTGTCCCTGGAATACTAAGGAAATACTTTTTATAAAGTATCCCACAGAGACCAACAAAACTATCAACAAGGAATATTATGCTAAAATATTCAACCAACTTCAAGTAACTTTAACTTTGCTTTTTCCACAAATATTCGCATGTTTTACAAAAAACTGATTGCATCGGTTCAAAACAGGAAAAAAAATAGTGCTGTATCGGAAAGCAGTGACAATCTTCCATTTTTACAATATCAATTTCTAAAATAACATAAAAATTAGGTACTCAAGTCATGAAATGCTATACTAAAACACATTATTATGTTACATATATTTTAAGACTTAATAAAATATTATTTATTAACTATTTTCTGTTTAATTACGCTTGAATTATTATAGTCGTCAAGCATACGCCATTACTCGTGTGCATTTTAAATTCATCAAGTGATTTTGTAAGAAATCGGCAAGTACAACAAAAAATCTTTTCGTGGCGGTTTAAATAATGTTTCTCAAGTTCTCCCAACAAGCAAAACTTTTCTCTGCAATCGTTACATGTCAATCTATCCTGACTATGCCGCAGCACAGCCTCATTCTCATAAAACATCGTGTGACAGCTATCGCATTTTGCTATGAAATTACTTTCTATTTTTTCATTCGTTTTTTCGTCTTCTTCATCGCTATCATCAATAACAATTGGGTCTTCAACAGATTTTATAGATTGTTGAGGATTGCTGCTAGTAATATTAGTATTGCACAAGTTAGAAGATATAACGACTAGTTCACTACCTAAATTAAAACTATTAAAAGTTTTAAAATGAGGATGTGGTTTAGTAATATTTATTACTGGCGTAGAAGATGGCGTAACCACTATTTTGCCGTGTTGATAAGTACCCAATTTAATAAAACTATTTGCAACTTCCGGTGCAGACGAATCTGTTGATGTATCTTGAATTACTGAAACCGGAATAGGTGCTGATATCGACGTATGTGCTGAAATACTACTTTGAGGTAGTTTGGACTTTTTTCGCTGATTTTGAGCACGCTGTTTTAACTTATATACATCTGTAAGTTTGAACATTGGTTTGGGTACTGATTTGCGTACTGGTTTGGGTTTTGGTTTGGATAGTGGTTTGGGGAGGATATATTTCATAGGAGAAGGCATTTGTTGGAGAATACTTTCCTCTTTTGGTTCTTGTGCTATTATATTAGTACAAATAGGAGCACTAGTGGGTGCTATACGTGTCGGTTTACGTACTTTGGACCTTTTCTGCTGTTTCTGAGGGCACCGTTTTATCTTACAACCATTTTCCTTAATTGCTGGTTTGGGATGGATACACCTTTTGGGAGATAACACTTCTTGAAGAATACTTTTCTCTTTTGGTTCTTGTGCAATTATATTAGTATTGGAAGCACCAGTCGAAGAAACTGTGGTTTCTGATGTCGGAGTAACCAATTTTGGAATTGCATTTACTAGTTCGGAGTTTGTAGCAGGAATTTTATCATTGCAGTTAACGGCAAAACTAAACGGACCAGTTCTCTTTACTTCCAACCCTTTTGGTTTAGCAGTTTCCGGAAGGATATAAACGGTCTTTTTCTGTCCCATCGTTTCTACTTTTTTTGTTTCATTCTTAGAATTCGGTTTTGTCAGTTTTGGCTTTGTTTTTTGTGTCCAAGACTTTGTTCTTTGTATTGTAGTAGAAATGTTATGTATATTAGTTCTATCTTCAATAATCTCGATTTCATCATCTTTGTGTTCATTGCTTTTACCTTTATAACTTGTTTCTAATTCTTTATGGAATGACTGATGAATTGTCAAATCTTCTTTATTATCGAACACATCAAAACACAAATCGCAAGTTAAGTTATCTTCATCTTCTTCCTCTTCAGCTTTTTTAGTATTCTTTTTATTTGCTGTTTTATTTTTATGGTATTTTCTAAAATGTTTTTGTACTCGTTTGACTGTTCGAAATTTAAATGAACATTCACTGCATTTATATAAAGAACTTTCTGCATCAATTTGAAGAGAGTTCTTATCATCTTTAATTGTAGTATCTACAATATCCTCTGAGCTCGTACTTTTTCTATTTTCCGAAATCCTTTTTGTTGCATGATTTTTTCGTTTATGCATGATTAGGTGGTGAGTAGTAAAACATGTAAAGGAACACAAAGTACACTTATACAACTCGTCTGAAATTTGAGATTCTGCGTGTAACACAAGGTGAGTAAAACATGCTTTTTTCGTACACATTTTTTTAGAACATGTAATACAATAATATACGCAAGAGATTCTTGCATTATGTGCATTAAATTCTTCAATATTTCTGAATATACTTTTGCAAATAATGCAATGTATCTCAAAAAGTATTTTATTTTCGATAATACTGTTCGTATTGTTGGAATTTTCTATAATATTAAGGTCTTTGGTATGTCTTTCATTATTGCTATCTTTGGTATTTGCAGCTTGCACTTTTTCTCTATTCTTTTTTTCCTGTGTAGCTATTATTTTTCTGGCCGTTTCATCCACTGTTTCGTTTTGAACATCCTCAATATTCGCATTAGTTTTATTTGGGTTTTCTTGTTCTTTACCTTTGTTATTGCTCAAACTTTCTTCATAATAATCTTCAGTGAAAATATCATCTTCCGAAGTTGAATCTAAATGTACATATCTATGGACTTCCAAATCTTCTAATGATGAAAATTTGGACATACAGGTGTAACAAGTATGTCTTTTTTTACGATGCGATGGAGTTTGTTCATAGTCTGTATTATTTGATTCTGCTGGTTTATCGTAATTGAGATCAGTAGATTCTATCGAGAGGTTATGAGAGACTCCATGATATTCTGGACTCAATTCTTTGGTTGCAAGTGGCCTAAAATAAAAAAAAACTGTATTAATAATTACGATTTTTGTAATTAAAACCACACTTACAAGTTCATTTCACAATTTTTGAGAAAAAATAAAAGTATAGAAAGAGAAGCTGAAAAATAAGAGAATAAATAAATGTTGTAAAAGAAATACATTAAAACTGCAATTGGTCACATCAGACCGAGCAGAAATTTTGTCTTAAAAGTTTTATAGTGGCTAGGTGCAGGTACATTAAAAAAAAGAAATATATTTCCAAACTTAAATGTTATCAAATAATGTCAGTAAATAAAGAATAAAAATCTAGAGAAAAAAACAGTAGATATGGAATAGTAGTTTGTGCAACAAGAGTGGGTATAATGGCTATATTGCACGAAGACGAAGTTTGAGAACGACACCATAGATGGAACGTCTAAGTGCGATGCGGACAATCCACTCGAGTTGTATATTATATTTTTTCTACGACCCACTAACGAAAATCTAACATTGCTGTTAAATTATTTTAGGTTATTAAGATAACATAACTAATTTAAAAATAATTTATGACTTTTACTAATTTACATAATAAAATTTAATTAGTCTTCAATCCTAGAATTGAACCTGGGACCTCTGCGTGAAAGACAACCTAGTCACTGCTCCATCGCCACATATAATATTTTAGTTTTAATACTCGTAATTGAATTGATTTTATATAGTTTTATTAAAATGTATGGTTTATTTTTAAATATAGACGAAATAATAATAGAAATAAATGCTATTATTAATCGATTCTACACAAGAATAATTCATTTTAATGTTTATTTATTCTCAACAACTAAAAGCTACTGACAATTAGTTTCACATAATTGTCACTTATTTAAAATTTAAAAAAATAATAGTAGTCAGGTGACCAAAATAGGAACTGTGGCTTTCATTTTTTTGCCGTGGTTTTACTGGGTAGAATGAATTTGAAATATATTCGTGAAGTTAAACGCAGTGACATACTTTTTCGTTTTGTAGTCTGTGCGTAAAATAGCTAATATCCAAAATAATGTTTTCTTCACCCACATGGATATTATCTATTCTACGAACAGACTACAGAAATTTGTTAGCCACTTTCTAGTGAACGAATATAATTCTATTGAGACCACTGTATGGATATGAAATCCACCAATCACCAATTCATATTTGGTTACCGGACTATATTAGTGATTCTTGTTAAGAATCAATAAATAATAGCATTCCACAATATATTCGTCTATATTTACAAATAAGTCGCAAATTTTAATAAAACTATTTAAAACCAAAATTCTGTGAGAACTTACGGACCTAGTTTTATTTCTTTTCCTTTTGCTCAATAACTCACACATGGCGACTACCTTCAACTTTATTTAAAACCAATTTAATTATGAGTATAAAAAAAGTAGATGCCTTCTTAGTGCAGAGTACTGATTTGCCATGCAAAGGATCAGGATTTCCAATTCAGAATTAAGGACTAATTAAAATCTTTTTTTAAAGTTTATTTTATTTAGTAATTAGTAAAATCATAACTAATTTTAAAATAGTTACTTTATCTTAATAATATTTAAATTAATTTTTAAAATTTGTAGATTTTCGATAGAAATTCGTATATAGGTAATGTACAACTCGAGTGGACTGTCCGTATCACACTCAGACGATTGAGTACTCTGCATCTATCCATCATATCTACTCTTAACTATTTAACAGTCTAACTTTGATTTTGATTACTAAGGAAAAATCAAACGCGTTCCGAGGTATATAGTCAAAGAAGTAGCTGTTGTCCGGAGGCAAGAGGTCGTTTGACTGATTTCCGTGACTTAGACTGTGAGTTTTTCTTCTTCATTTACCTGTTATCTATTTCAGTTATCAATTGTAAAGATGTACTCAAAAACATTTTAAAAATATGGAAATGATTTATAAAAGACATTTGATAAGACTAGATAATGTAAAAAAATGCGACCTACTTTAAGACCATCTAATTAAATATGAGACTGTAAAATATAATATGAAATGTTCAAATTTAAATTATTTATAGTTTTTGTTTTGTAAACATTGAAAACTTTTTAAACAAATATTTGTACCGGCCGAATATTCCAAATTTTTTAAATTCATAAATATTTATTATAAAAATTAAATCAAATTTACAAAAAAAAGTAATATAAATATTATTTGCTATAACATAATTAGTTTTCAAAATATTTTTGTTCAACTAAATTTTAAAACTTCCATAATAGTTTATTTATTTCTTTATTTTAGAGTTCACACATAATTCAAAAATAGGACGAGAAGTTAAAGATAATTTAAACATTAATTTAATATTAATTTAGTCAATATTAACTATTAGTGTCCATATTAAATACTTTCATTTATCACATAAAACATCATAAAAGTATTACTATTTACGTATCATTAGGTAGTGGATGTTTTTTGTATAAAGTAGATGCAGCACTGGTCCCAAGGTGCTACCCTGCGGCACATTAGCATATTACACAAATATTTTTCTAATTTTGACATATAAAATGACGTTTTTACTTCACGCAACCAGCTGCATAATGTTGAACATTATGAAACTGGTTTCGAAAAATCACTAGTTGTGAAAAGAAAACAAATAAAAATTTTCTTTTTTTGTTTTAAAATCAATATCAAGTTTATATAATAGAAAGGTAGGTTAACTTGTAAAAATAGAGTTCGGTTAAACTTACAACCTAGTAATAATGTTGTTTTGATCCTTATTTTCCATTCTAAATCAGCATAAAGTAATTAAAACACAATACATCACTAAATAACCCACTTTCTTGAAATCTAAATAATTTTAACAAGCAATATAAACACACAACAATTAGAGCTCTTTCCCACGAAGATACTGTATGCCAAATACGCGTATCCGAGATACAGAATCGCAGTCGGAAACTTGGGTTGCTGTATGGAATTTACGAATCTCTTCAATCAGTACTAAAATAGTCACAGTGGCGTGCATAGGTTTGAATTATGGATCTAGAAGAGTGCATTATACTGATGTATATAATACAGTGGCTCACATAAAATGCACATCGTATAGGCTTTTTTGTAAATGCTGTAGATACATTTTTACTTTGCCATTTTTTGTTGCTTCAAAAATGACAACGAATGACATGCAAATGGAAAATCACGTGACTTTTGTAAATGTCAAAATTACATTTTTTCTTAAAAATTGCAAAAATGGCAATTTCGAAAAATTTCTCAACAAAAAGTTGCTTATTTTTTAATTATTTACCCATATAGCCCGTGTCAAGTTTTTATTTTCTACCAATTCAGTTTTAGGTTACTGTAATTTAGGCAAGTTGTATAAAATATTTTTTGACAAAAAAACATTTAAAAGAAGCGCATCGCGTAAACAGATTAATTTATATAGGTTAGCGTAAATTCTAGTAACCTTACATTTGTAGAAAAAATAAGTAACTTTTAGGCATAGGTTTTTTTGCATCTCTTACAAAAAAAGTAAATTTTGACATTTACAAATGTCACGTGATTTTCCATTTGCATGTTATTGGTTATCATTTTTGAAGCAACAAAAAATTGAAAAGTAAAAATGTATCTATATCATTTAGAAAGAAAAACCCCGAGAAAAAGTAATCCCTGTTATATTTTCAATAGATAGAGTAGATAATGAAATAATATTCCAATTAATACAGTCAAAACTCATAAATCAATTTGGAACCATTCATGTTGTTTTACCAAAAAAAATGTACGAGTTTGACGCAAATGCATCTCTAGAGTACATTACTTTAATATTAAAAGACTGGGCATACAACATGCGTAGAAAAGACGGTAAAGAATATAAAAATTCTGTAGTTTACGCTAATTTTTTATTCGTGAAATAATTTAAAAAAAAATTCTTCGTGCATCTAATTTAATCCTTTCTCAAATAAATTAAACTATCAAACTAAATGCATTCAGGATACCTACCTACCATTGAAAAATCCTGCGCCTATGACATAATCTGCGTTGCAAAAGTATCCATGTCTGAAAAGGTCCATATATCGTAATAGTAATTCTGTATGCGGCATACGCATTCAGCGTCCGCGGCTGAAGGTGCCGGGATACAGAAATTCCGTATCGCGATACTGTATGCGTCGCCCGTACCGTGTGAATAGGTCCATTTGAATGTATGGTCAGCCTGAATCTCGGATACGCGTATCTCGCATACAGTATTTTCGTGTGAAAGCGCTCTTAGTCATTGAGAATAAATGAATATGATTTTCTATTTGTCAAAAAAAGATTGAAGTTAACTAATCATATGCAACTAACAATACAATAAAGTAGTAATACTGGTTGCCTACGTCTCAGTAATTTTTTACCAAAACACAATTTTATATTCTAGACAAAATTAGAAAAAAAAATTGTATGCAACACGTTACGAAATGCCGTTTTATGTAACGAGTGAATATTTGCGGGACGCGCCGAGCTATTTCCTGCTTTATAAATTTTACATGTTTAAATAAAAATCTGTAAAAATAGAGCTAAAAAAAAATACAAAAAAACACAATTTTGGGATATTTTTTTATTAGTAACATTTATGTATATGTATAATTTATTACAATCAAAAGTATTTGATGATTCATATAAAAGAGTTAGCTAAACCAAAATGGAATAAAATAACGAAAATTAAAAAAAAAAATCAAAATAACTATTTATATATATAAATTTAAACAATTAAATTTAACAATTACTAAATAGTTACAAAACCCTTCAAACCGTGATGTGTGTAATATAAAAAAATGAGGCTGCGAGACTAGAAAAATGGTAAAACACAATGGGGAAAATATTCGTATTTTATATGAATAAACTAAAACCGAAACTAAAAAAATAATTTATTATAAATATTTTTATAATTTTATACACTTACGTGTAACATTCATAATACAAAACATACCTTATATTAAACCAGAAAAACACTTTCTTGAAATAAGAAAATAGTGAAACACAAATAATCCCACAATTTTATTTAGTTTAATCCCTAAATAACAATCTAGAGGTACAGATCGACAGGAATAACAAAAACCGCGATGTACAAGATGTACCAACGTGAGACATGGCTGAGAGAAGGATTCAAGCTGCTTTGCCAAATTTATTAGT